TTCAACTATAAATTTTTGACCATCATGTTGTTTGGTATGTGTATGCTTGAATAATTCAAAATATGATGGACGACGACCAAGTTGCTTTTCCTAAAAATTAGTTAAAATAGAAACAAAATAAAAAAAAAATTAAAACAAATAAGATTATAATATATACTAAAAGTATTTCAAACATCAACTCAATAAGCAGAATATAAATAGAATTAGTAAAATAGAACGAAATTTAGTAAAAATATTCAACAGAGTTTCCTTTATAAATAGAACTATCTCCAATATAGAACACAAACATTAACTCAATAGAGACAATAAAATTAAATCACAATGATTTTATCATAATAGTGTCAATACAAATTTCTACCAACACAATAGCACATAATTATTATATAAAGCAAACAAAATTCCGATAAAAAAATCAGCATAGTTTCCCGTATAAATAAAACTATCTCTCTGCTTAATATATAATATAAACATCTCAAACATCAACTCAATATGTACAATAAAATAAAATCACAAGAAGTTCATCGTAATAATCTCAATAAAAGTTTCTACCAACACAATAACGCATAATTCAAAGTAATTTGGCACAAAGCCAAATTTACACAAGTGATATCTCACAATCTCAGCTTCTTCAAATGAGATGTGATGACATTTTATACACGGACATCAAATTTTACTTCCATCCATGAAATTTGGTTTACTACATGCAAACTCAATAAATGTTTCTAAATTTTTTATAAAATCTGGATTAAGATCACCACGCTGAGTTCGCCTTTGATACATCCAACTTCTATCCATAATACTTATATGTAAAGACCTACACATATACATTCATATATTTAACAATCATTAGAGTTTAAAAAATATTACTATTATCATTCCTATTCGAATATTTGAATCAAATGCCCCTCTAAGAATAGAGAAATAATAAAACACAGAAAAACAAAAGAGATGAAAATATAGTGCATAGTATACACATGAAGAAAATCTCTGGTTTAGCACTATATGCAGGCATGTTACAATACTTTCTTAGCTTATCATCCTACACAGAGGCTCTAAGTTAATATGGAATACCAAATCTGTATGGAGTAATTGGTCCTTCGTTACTCATCAAGCTGGATTTTAATCATTTGATTTCAAGTGCCAAGATTGTGGCTTGCTTATTCATAGTGTTATTTTTATTTGACTTCATCATCTATAAAGATAAAATAAACTGGTAAATCGTAAAGTTAAAAACAATCAACACTTATATGTTACAGATCAAGGGTAAGTCTATTATTAAGAAATTATACTATTTTATGAATATTTTGTCCCAGAGATTACACTGGTTCATCTTTTTTCTGAATTATAACATGCATTATGCTACAAGACCCATGAAAATTTTATTTTGTCTCTTTCCTTTACTCTATTATTTCTAAAGCTGAGTTCAAGACATGTAGTGCTCAGCAAAGGAGGCCTGAATCAACAACTAACTAGCTTACTTAGTGATGTAAAAGGTGGAGCAATTAATGATTAAGATTCACATTATTCATTTCTGTTTACTCATATATATATATATATATATATATATATATATATATATATATATATATATATATATATATATATATACACAAAGCAGTAAATTAAATATATATCACACATATATATACAAACCAGTAAACACCACAAATATATATACAAAGCAGTAAAAACTACAAATATATATACAAAGCATAAGCAGTAAATATATATCACACATTTATATACACAAAGCAGTAAACACCACAAATATATATACAAAGCAGTAAAAACTACAAATATATATACAAAGCATTAAAAACAATATATATATATATATATATATATATATATATATATATATATATATATATATATATATATATATATATATATATATATATATATATATATATATATATATATATATATATATATACGCATTGTATACCCACAACAAATAATAAATTTATAATAATACAAAAAAAAAGACTTTCAGAAAGAAACTAACCTCGGTCTCGGTCGTTGTCTCGCCGCAAACCGTCACCGTCTTGCCGCAGCCTGTTGTTGCCTCGCCGTAGCACGTCGCCGCCTCACCGTAGCACGTCACCGCCTCGTCGTAGCACGTCGCCGCAAAGTTGCAGAGTCTGAAGCTGAGGAGGGTTAGAGATGCGGCTGAGTCTGAAGCCGATGAGGATTAGAGATTTTAGGAATTTAGTTATTTTAGGATTTTAGGTATTTTAGGATTTTAGTGTTGTAGTAAATTAAAATAGGATTTAGCCTTTTCAATATATATATATATATATATATATATATATATATATATATATATATATATATATATATATATATACATATATATTATGTAGTTTTGATTAATGAATATAATACATATACTTCTAAAATAATTAAGAAAATGATTTATTTAATTATTTTTTACATTTGTGTATGATAAAAAATCTTCTTATATTTAAATATTCACGTAAATGTTAATTAGTATCTTTAGGAGTGTCTACAATTCGGTGAAAATATGTTAAATTATCAAATAAAAAATTCAATTAATAAGTTTTTAACGTAAAATATTTCAGTTCGGTCAATGGATAAAGATTTTTTAAAATTTTAACTATCGATAGTTTAATTAACTAAATTAACATATTGTTGAATTGTGTAGTTATTTTTAGTGTGTGCAGGGTCGATCCATTAAAAATAGGGGTCATGTCTAATAGTTTAATCTAGACTCCACGTTATTGTATTATATAACAAAAATAAAAATGTAATTAAATTTTTTTGTCCAAATATAGTACATAAAAATTTAATAAAGAGAGAATGCAATTCACAAGTTAATTTAAAAGTTTCATTTTTCGTTAATATTTAAATACAAAATTATTCACCAAAATTTCGATGTAAATTCTTCTAAAATTTTATTTTCAATTACAATGAAGACCAATCTATGAAATAAAAAATAATAAGAATAGGTAAATGTTTTGTTACAATTTTAAATATAAAATAAAAATAATTATTTTCGATATAATCAAAATGAGTATTTTAAAAAATTGATTATTAAATTATTCATATTAATTGTTTAACCAAATCAAACAACTATAATAGTGATTAAATACATCAAAATTGACTGATAAGCTAACTTTGATACTAAACATGAACTTCAATTCATCATTTAATTTGTACAAACCAAACATGTCTATGTAAATATCTATGATCTTTTGAGGCTAAACCAATTATTTACACGATGTCGAAAATAAGATAGCATGAAACAAAGTCTCATTATATATATACATTTTTTTTTTGGGTAAGGATACACTTATTTTTAATTGTTAAGCTAACTACGAATTTGAGAATTTCAATGTAATTTCTTGTTAATCCGACTTCAGTTTCGCATATGATTTTAATACTCTAATGTTGCTATCAGGGACGAAGCCAAAGGAGGGGCAGCTGCCTCCCCCCCCCCCCCTCACCCCACCCCCACCCCCACCCCATATATAATTTTTGTATGTATATATGTATATATAGTACATGTGTTAGTATTAGTAAAATAAAACTGTTGAATGTTAACAAAGGTTGATTTAGGTGAGTTGGTTAAGCACATGTTAAGTTATTATGATAAAGGATAGGGTTCAAATCTTGGCATTAACATAGTTTTATAGTTGGCTTCAAACAGTTTTTAAAAAAAAATATTTCTGGCTCCGTCCCTGGTTGCTATCATTAGGGTATAAAACAAATGTCCCATGAGCACCAATGATATCACATTTTATATTAATGTTGTACCATACCAACGTTAGGTACTTAAAATTGTACTAACTTCATATTTACCAATAATAATTTTATATTTAAAGATGCAATATAATTTTAAATTTCTTTTTAAATTTAAATTTTTACACTTATATACAATGCTTTCAAAATTTTCATAAATTTTGGTCGAATTCCTTTTTTAAAAAAACTAGAACTTTCAATTGAAATATTTATTTCAACAAAATTAAAAATAATTTTAATTTATCTTATAAAATATCTCAAAATATCACTAGGAATATATTGGTCTTCGTTATGGACAATGACATTGTAGAAAAGAGGGTGCGATCATTCGGCCATTAATGATTCCAGCGCCATAGCGCGACAGACATATAGGGCGTCGCATTTTCTGTCGCCAATGTGTCAACATATTGGTGACGGAATTGATTTTGTCATCGCACTTTGTAGCAAAAATAAACTTTACTTAAAAAATTTATTATTTCAGTGACGGAAAGAACGGTCGTCGTATGTTCCGTCGCCAACCTCAAATGTCAAATCTACCGTTGCACCAAACATCGCAACAGAATTAATTTTCGTTGCCGATTCCATCGTCATAGCGCGACAAACATATAGGGCGTCGCATTTCCTGTCACCAATGTGTCAACATATTGGCGACGGAATTGATTCTGTCGTCCCATTTTGTAGCAAAAATAAACTTTACTTCAAAATTTATATACTTTCGCGACGGAAAAAAGTCTCGTCGCAAATTCCGTCGTAAGCCTCGGTCGTCAATCTCTTTGTGTAAAGATTACGTGGGAATATTTTCAAGTTTGCGCCAAATATTGCAAAAGAATTATTTTTGTCGCGGATTCTGTAGCAAAACCGCAACGGCACCATCAATCGTTGCCTTTTCCGTCGCCGTTGTGGTGACAGAACTTAATTCCGTCGCAAAATCCGTCACCAAAATGTGGGCGCCAAAATTTCCTGGCCTTTTTCTTACTTTGCGCCAAAAATTGCTACAGAATTGATTTCCGTTAACATTTCCAACGCAAAATCGTGACAGAACACGTTCCGTCGCAAAAACCGTTGCAAATTGACAACGGATTACCCTCTGTCGCAATGTTTCCGTCGTGATTCGTGATTTTTCTTGTAGTGTGTACGGTAAACGTTTTTGTTTTACTGCCTGGTAGATCCCCTTTTCAAATTCTATATAGGTTAAACTGCTTTTTCGTCTTTGCACTTATTTTCATAAAAGAAAAATGGAAAGAGATCATGCTAATCGTTCTAGGCCTCTTGCCTTTAATCTCTCTAAATTTGATGATTGGAAAGTCCGGATGCAGATTCATATCTCGGCTATTCATGATGAAATGTGGGACGTTATAAAAGAAGGTCCTATCATTGTCATGATGGTGAATACACAAGCGGCTGCTCAAGGAGCAGACCTAGAAGTCATGATTCCAAAACCGAAGTCTCAGCTTACTTCAAACGAAAAGGCAAGAGCAAATCTCGACAACGTTGCACGAGATATCCTCTACAAGTCTCTAGATGACTCGTTATTTCCGAGAGTGCGGAAATGCACTACGGCAAAAGAAATCTGGGATACTCTTATGAGTTTAGGAGAAGGAGACGAGCAAGAAAAGGACAACAAGCTCAGTGTTGCCATGAAGAAATTTGAAGACTTCAAAATGATGCCAAATGAAACCATCACCGATATGGAGCTTAGGTTCACGAAACTTATGGGTGACCTTTAAGATCTTGGAAATGAGCTAACCGAAAAGGAGAAGAACCTAAAGATACTTCGAGGACTTCCAAAGTCATGGGAGATGAAGGTAACAGCCATGAGGGATCACCGAGACATGAAGACTACCAACACGAGCAAAATATTTAGTGATCTCAAGGCCTATGAGTTCGAGCATGAGTCCAAAGAATCTGAGGAATCTGAAACGAGGAATATCGCCTTGGTTGCAAGTCAACAACCGTCAATATCAAACAGGTCAAACTCTAACCCTACTGAATTTTTATCTGATGAACAGTTTGCTTTGTTTGTACAAAAGATGAAAAGGTTCATGAGGAAGAACAACTTTCAAGATCATCAAAGATCACCAAACTCCTCCAACCGAAGGCAACACGAAAGATCTCCTCAGTCGTTGTTGCAAGAGACGGTGGATGCACAAGTGCTATGCTATAATTGTCGAAAGCCAGGACATTTCAAAGCGAATTGTCCTCATCCTATGGTTCGCAAATACTAGGACCAGGATATTAGCACAAGCTCACCGAAAGATGTTGTTGAATCTAGCAAGAGAAGTGGAAAACCAAAATCAACAAACTCTCGACACGAGAGAAGAAGGAAAGCTATGGTAGTGAATGAGCCAGCTGAAGAAGTTCAACCCGAAAAAAGCACCTCAAGTTCAAGTTCAGAGAGTGAGAGTTCGGGAGATGAGAAAGGACTTCTATGCCTCTTCAGTTAGGAAGAAGAAGCAGATGATCTATGTCTAATGGCAAATGATGATGAGGGAAAACATGTCATATGGTATGTCGATAGTGGATGCTCAAGATATATGACCGGAGACAAATCAAACTTGAGCAATTACAAAGAAGTTGATGGACCAAAAGTTGTTTTTGGAGGAGAATCAAGTGGAAAAATGAAAGGAACTGGAGACATGATTAGAAATGGAGTAATCATTCGAGATGTCTCACACGTTGAAGGACTCAAGTTCAACCTGCTTAGCACCAGTCAATTTTTTGACAAAGGCTACAAAGTAGAATTCTCCAAAGACGAGTGCAAAGTCATTAGCAATGGAGATGGTGACATCGTTCTCATGACAAAATGAAAGAAAAACATATATGTAGTTGCTTGGGAACTTTGTAAAACTAATGTTTGTCTTGTTGCCAATAGTAATGCAAATTTAAGCTTGGAATGGCACAACAAGATGAGTCATCTAAATCTCAAGACCATCAATAAGCTATCAAAGAGAGGTCTTGTGGAAGGACTACCGAAAGTAAACTATGTCAAAGACAGAATTTGTGATGGATGTCAAAAAGGAAAGCAAATTAAAGCTTTATTCAAGTCATCAAAATCTTCAGACACAAATTCTCGTTCGTTAAGTCTCCTACACATGGACTTGTTTGGTCCAGTTGATCCTGCTAGCCTGAGTGGACGGAAGTATTCTCTCGTTGTCGTAGATGATTACACGAGATATACTTGGACACTATTTATGAGAAATAGAATCAAACTAAGAAGGCATTGCCAGATCTACTAAGGCAATTGCAAACTGAAAAGGAGCCCAGTATAGTAAGAATCAGGTCGGATCAAGGGACAAAGTTCGTAAACAAGGTCATCAAGGACTTCTGTGGACAAAACGGTATTTTCCATCAACTTTCGGCCGCACGTACTCCTCAACAGAACGGAGTAGCCGAAAGAAGAAACAGAACCTTGAAGGAAGCTACATGAACCATGATAGCACACTCAGGACTGCCAAAACGCTTCTGGGCCGAAGCGATCAATATTTCATGCTACACCCAAAATCGAACTCTCATCAACAAAGCTCATGATCTAACTCCATACGAGTTATGGAAAGGTAAGAAACCTATTTTTAGTTACTTTCACATCTTTGGATGCAGGTGCTTTGTTGACAACAACGGGAAGAACTATCTAAGAGCTTTCGATGAAAGAGCTGATGAAGGGTTATTCATGGGATATTCTTCAGTAAGCAAAGCATTCAGGGTTCTAAACAAAAGAACTATGGTAATTGAGGAATCTATCCATGTTAAATTCAATGAAAGTGCTGAAAAGACCTCACAAGATAATGTATCACTCGACGTAAGAAAACTCAGCATGCAAGCTGAACCTAGTCAAGCAGGTGAAGAAGATTCAGATCATGAAGATCTTTTTCCATCATATCAGAGATGTCAATCTCAATCTATTGAACCCGAAATACAAGTTCAGACTGAAACAACTAGTGGAGAAGCTCCACCTGCACCACAAGTTCAACCTGAACCTATGATCTATGTTGAACTCCCCTACATTCTTGAGATGAATGCACAAAATCAACCAACAACTTTTGAGCCAGATCTAAGATGGCTGAGAGATCACCCGCCTGACCAAGTGATTGGCAATGTTCAAGAAGGAGTAAGAACTCGTGCCTCCATGCACGAAAGCATGATGGCATATTTCCTATCACAAATAGAGCCAAAAATCATTGAAGATGCCTTAAGAGATTCAGATTGGGTCACCGCCATGCAAGAAGAACTTCATCAGTTTGAACGAAACAACGTTTGGGAACTTGTTCCCAGACCAACTCATCAGAATGTTATTGGAACCAAGTGGGTTTTCAGAAACAAAATGAGTGAGGATGGAGTAATTGTCAGGAACAAGGCTCGGCTTCTAGCCAAAGGATATTGCCAAGAAGAAGGCATAGATTTTGATGAAACATTTGCTCCTGTTGCCAGACTTGAAGCAATTCGAATATTTCTCTCCTATGCTGCCCATAAGAACTTCAAAGTGTTCCAAATGGACGTGAAAAGTGCATTTCTAAATGGACTTCTTGAAGAAGAAGTCTATGTGGAACAACTTCCAGGGTTCATAACTGATATTGATAGTGACAAAGTCTATCACTTAAAGAAAGCCTTATATGGCTTAAAACAAGCACCACATGCTTGGTATGATACATTATCGCACTTTCTTATCAGTTGTGGCTTCACGAAATGAGTGGTTGACAAAACTCTATTTCGTATCAAGGATGGTGATCATATCCTACTTGTGCAGATATATGTTGACGATATCATCTTCGGATGCACAAATCCGGAACTATGTGATAAGTTCTCAAAGCTCATGGAAGGAAAATTTGAAATGAGCATGATGGGAGAACTAAACTACTTTCTCGGGTTACAAGTTAAACAATGTCCTGATGGAATTTTCATCAATCAGGCAAAATACATGAAAGATTTAATTCGAAAGTTTGGAATTGATGGAAAAACATCTGTTAAAATTCCAACGAACACATCTTTACGTATGGAAATCGACATTGAGGGAAAAGATGTGGACCAAACAAAATATAGAGGGATTATTGGATATCTCTTATACCTTACAGCGAGTAGACCTGGCATTTCTTTCACTGTTGGGGTATGTGCAAGGTTTCAAGCCAAACCAAAAGAAAGTCACTTAAGTGCGGCTAAAAGGATTTTAAGATATCTTAAGGGAACCCAAAGTGTCGGTCTTTGGTACCCAAGAGAAGGTTCTTTCGATCTAGTTGGATATTCAGATGTAGACTTTACTGGGTGTAGAATTGACCGAAAGAGTACCTCTGGAACTTGCCAGTTCCTAGGGGGAAGACTCGTGTCATGGTTTAGTAAGAAACAAAACTCAATTGCCACCAGCATTGCTGAGGCTGGATACATAACAGCTGGAAGTTGTTGTGCACAAATACTATGGATGATGCAACAACTCAAAGATTATGGGGTTATAGCACGAGAAGTACGAATTAACTCTGATAATACAAGTGCTATTGCTATAACACACAATCCAGTGCTACATTCTCGAACTAAGCATATTGATATCAAATATCATTTCATTCGAGATCACGTTGAGAAAAAGGATATTCTGCTTGAATACATCAACACTGATGATCAATTGGCAGATATTCTCACAAAGCCATTAAATGAGAACATATTCTCATCTCTACGACATGAACTTGGGATGACCGAAATGTCTTAGTAGAAAGATTAAATCCGTAACGTCTATCCTATCTTATGAACTGAAATATTCGCAGAAGATTCCTGAAAGATTCCAAAAGAAAATCTTGAAGAGAATACATGCAGAAAAGGAGAATATCTTGAAAGAAGGGTGAAAATATCTTGGAGAGATCTTCACGCAAAATAACGTCTTTTCTCCACTATAAAAGGCCTCTTTCCTCAAATGAGAAGCTCATACTAATCTCTTATAGAATTCTAGTTTGTTTTAGTGTCTTTAATTGCAGGTATGAGTCAAGGAAAATGAAAGGAAAAGATGGACGAGGCATCAGAAAGATATGCTGCTCGTAGGGAGCAATACCTGGAAGAAGCATGAAAGCTAACAAATGAGAAAGTCGTCAAAATAAGAGAGCACTCCGATAGAGTGGAGATCACATTCTCTCCATCTGAGATGGCTGAACAAAAGAAAGAAATAAACAAAATTCTAGCAGATTCACGAGCCAAACAAGAGTAATATCTTGAACATACTCGAAAGTTTGCAAATGAGAGAATCATGCTGCTCAAAAAGGCGGGTAGCAAATCTGACGTCGGATCTCCTGCTACGTTTCCGATGATACCCTATTCACGAAAGATCACAAAGCCTGATGGATCTTTCGCATGTTCAAATTCGACCACCAACTGAATTGGAGTCTCGTGTGTCCTCCCTCACTATCAGTGAGTTAGACGAATACAAGGACGTGAAGTGCGTACTCGAAAGAAGCGATAGTTTCGACTATTAACCATCTGGCACTCCACCTGCTCTGCCTACCTCTCTAAGGTCCACTGCCAGTAGCAAGAAAAAGAAAGACTAATCTCTTGAAAATTCTTGTGGCATGTTATCATTTACTTTCCTGCAAACCTAATGAATTCCCGCTCTTTCAGTTTGTCTTTATCTTAATCTCGTGATCTTACACTGCTTTCATCTATGTCATAATATAAATCTTGACCAACGAAAGATTCTCACAACTACTACAAACATCCGTATGGTCAAGAGTCATAATGACATATTGAATTAAGGGCAACA